GCATAAAGAAATTAAGGTCTATGTGGACGATATAATTTGTAAGTCGAAGACTGAAGAAGATCACATTGAATACTTATTGAAGTTGTTTCAACGTCTGAGAAAGTTTAAGCTCCGCCTAAATCCTAATAAATGCACTTTTGGTGTCTGTTTTGGAAAGTTGTTGGGCGTTTTTGTCAGTCAGAGAGGAATTAAAGTTGATCCTGGTAAAGTTAAAGTTATTCAGAAAATGCCTACATCCAAAACAGAAAAACAAGTAAGAGGACTCTTGGGACGTTTGAACTATATCTCCCGATTTATTTCCAATATGACTGCCACATGTACGCCGATCTTCAAGCTTTGCTGAAAAGATCATGGTTGTGTATGGACAAAGGATTTTCAATTTTTTTTTGAAAGAATTAAAGAGTATCTGCTTGAACCTCCTATTTTGTCTCCTCCCGTGGAAGGAAGATCTTTGATCATGTATTTGACTATGCTGGAAAAGTCTATGGGTTGTGTTATGGGTCAATAAGATGAACCTGGTCGAAAAGAATTTTCCATTTATTATTTGAGCAAGAAGTTCACCGATTGTGAGTCTCGATACTCAATGCTTGAAAAGACATGTTGTGCTTTAGCTTGGGCTGCCAAGTGCCTCCGCTTGGTTGATATCCAAAATGGATCCAATAAAGTATATCTTTGAAAAGCGTGCTTTAACTAGGAGGATTGCTCATTGGAAAATGATATAATCAGACTATGATATCGTGTGTTGAACTTAAAAATCTATAAAAGGAAGTCTTTTGGCTGATCATTTGGCACACCAGCCAATTGATGATTATCAACCTATTAGGTTTGAATTTCCTGATGAGGATGTGATGCATCTAAATGTTAAATATTGTGAGGAGCCATTACCTAAAGAAGGGCCTGAGCCTGGGTCCCATTGGGGTTTGATTTTTGATGGAGTTGTTAATGAGTATGGAAATGGCATTGGAGCAATAATTGTTACTCCTCATGGTTCTCATATTCCTTTTACTACAAGGTTGATGTTCACTTGCACAAATAATGCGGCTGAGTATGAAGCGTGTATTATGGATTTGGAAGAAGCTATTGATTTGAGAATCTAGATTCTTGATGTGTATGGAGTTTCAACTCTGGTGATTAATCAGATTAAAAGATAACGGGAGACACGTCAACCTGATTCAATTCCTTATCAAGATTATGCAAGAAGGTTGTCAATTTTCTTCAATAAGGTTGAGTTTTACCATATACCTAGAGTAGAGTAGTGAATGGCAGATGCTTTAGCGACTTTATCCTCCATGATTGTGGTAAATCATTGGAATGATGTGCCAAAAATTGATGTTATGCGTCTTGATAGACCATCTCATGTGTTTGTAGTTGAAGATGTTGTTGATGATAAACCTTGGTATTATGATATTAAATGTTTTATTCAAAATCAAGAGTACCCACTTGGGGAATCTAAGAAGGATAAGAAAACTTTGAGAAGATTGGCTGGTAGTTTCTTCTTGAATGATGATGTGTTGTATAAAAGAAATTATGACATGGTCTTGCTCAGATGCGTAGACAAGCATGAAGCAGACATGTTGATGAAAGAAATCCATGAAAGATCCTTTGGTACCCATGCCAATGGATGCAATGGCTAAAAAGATGTTAAGGGCAGGTTACCATTGGCTGACAATGGAATCTGATAGTTGTAAATATGTGAAGAAGTGCCATAAATGCCATATTTATGTTGACAAAATTCATGTACCTCCAACTCCTCTCAATGTTATCTCTTCTCCATGGCCTTTCTCTATGTGGGAATTGATATGATTGGAAAGATTGAGCCTAAAGCGTCGAACGAGAACTGTTTCATATTGGTGGCTATTGACTATTTTACCAAATGGGTTGAATGGACATCATATGCCAATGTGACCAGGCAAGTAGTGGTCTGGTTTATCAAGAACCAAACCATCTGTCGGTACGGTGTTCTGAGCAAGATTATCACTAATAATGGGTCAAATCTGAATAACAATATGATGAAGGAATTATGCGATGAGTTTAAGATTGAGTATCATGATTCTTCTCCTTACAGACCTAAGATGAATGAGGTTGTTGAAGCTGCTAATAAGAACATTAAGAAGATCATTCAGAAGATGGTTGTTACATACAAGGATTGACATTGGATGCTCCCTTTTGCTTTGCATAGGTATCATACATCCATATGCAATTCAATAGGGGTAATCCCTTTCTCTCTTGTTTATGCTATGGAAGCAGTGTTCCCGGTAGAGGTTGAAATCCCTTCTATGAGAGTTTTGATGGAAGCTAAATTGTCTGAGGCTGAATGGTGTCAGAGTAGATACGACCAGTTGAATCTGATTTAGGAGAAAAGAATGACGGTCTTGTGTCACAGATAATTGTATCAGCAGCGAATGAAGAAAGGTTTTGACAAGAAGGTTCGACCTCGTGTGTTCAGAGAAGGTGACCTCGTGCTAAAAAAGATCTAGACTTTTAGCATTGATTCTAGGGGCAAATGGACTCCTAATTATGAAGGCCCATATGTTGTTAAGAGAGCCTTCTCTGGCGGTGCATTAATTCTTACAACTATGGATAATGAAGAGTTCACTCATTCTATAAATGTCGATGCAGTCAAGAAATACTTAGCCAAAAAAATAAAAAGAACAACTCGCTAAGTTGAAAACCCGAAAGGGCGGCTTGGGAAAAAATGAGCGTCTCGGTTGATTGAAAACCTAAATAGGGGGTCTAGGTAAAAATTAGAGACAAAAATAGAAATAATTGTCCCGGTAGATTGAAAACCCGAGAGGGCAATCTAGGCAAATGTCAGGGATTATGGCAAGTAACTGCATCTGGACAGTCTTGATCGCTTGAAGCAACATTTCCTATCAAGGACTTTACTTCAATCATCCCCAACTGAAGTCTCAAGCACATTTGGAAATCAAAGTTGTTAGAGAGAATAATGATCATTGTATTTCAATGTAACCCTTTCCATGTATTTACCATTTTTTCAACTTTGTAATGATCCATGGAGTTACGCCATTTGCGGACTACCATTCTATCAATAAAATTTGGGCCTTTATCCCTTTATTTGAAATTCTTATTTAATTTCTGTTTGTAGAGTTTCATTTTATTTTTGATGATGACTTTTTTGAAACAAATGTGAATAATTGATTTAAATTTTTTTGAAAATTATAAAAACATTTTCTCTTAATTTATGAATATAAAAAGGAATTTTAATGGTTATTCTAAGATTGGTAAGATCGTGAAGCACAAAGCTATTATGTTTTCCTCATCAAGGTTCGTTCTTACTCCTCTGGTAGAATTTATTGACAACTCCCCAGTAGAGTCGTGTTGATATTTCTTCAGTAGAGTTTGATGATATTTCCTAAGCAGAATTTTGTTCCTATGGATAACCAAATGAGTGCTATTCGGTTTTCCCCAACTAAGTCTCGATCTAGTTTTCTTCTCCAAGCCAATTATGTCCATGCTGATCCTTATTAGAGGTTATGCATTATTACTTTAGATGTTTCCCAAGCAAAAAGCAATGTTGCTTTCTTCTAAGAAGTAATGATATAGTAGTCACCCGTCGGGTTTTCTCTCACCTTGTGTTGGGTATTGATTCAAAATCCCCCACATCTTGACTTTTTGCTATGATGTTAACTTCTTATTTCCCCCAGCAAGTCGAATATGTTTTTCTTAGAATTGATTAGTCCACATAGAACTTTTCTCATACCCCTAGAAAATCTGCATTGTTCCCCAGTGGAGTTTGTGTAAATCTATAACATATATAAAGACAAAACATGGTGTTTTGGTGTAGCCTATTTTTCTACCAATTTTACCCTGTAATATATAACTTACATAATAATTTCTATTGAAACCACTATTATCATCTTTCACATAACTTTCTATTATTAACTTTTTATCTAACTTTTTACTATTAATTTCCTACATAAATTCTATTTAAAATTAATATTAAATAAAAAAAATATCATTTAAATTTTTCCATGTGACGCTAGTTTTCCATAAACTTAAATTAGTGAATAAAATAATATGGTAAAATTTTTATTCTAAATAAAAAATATAATTTAATAAAGGATATTATTGATAGTTATTTAAAAACAGATAAAAGAAAATAATTGTTTATTTTCTTGGTTTCCATAATTATTCACACGGTTTACCCACAACAGCAAATCAGAAACGAAAACACTATTTTCTCTATTTATTCCCAAATTCAAAACCCTAACCCTATTTTCTTCCATTACAGAGTCAAGAATTAGCCGTGAATTTTCAAACGCATTTGTTTGTTTGGTTAAGCAGCGAATTTTTAAACGCGCGTTTCCATTTCTTCATCACCTAGCTTCACTCGGCAAAGAGCCGGTGAATAAAAAGCGATTGATCAATTTCTGGTGAGATTTTAGTTTAAGTTTATAGTGATAATGATTCAGCTCAAATTGTATACTCTGTTCTATCTTTTGATTATAGGGATAATTAATTTTTTTCAATTAATTATATAGCTTAGCGAAAAAATGGAATACAACTGTTGGATTCTTCAAAGACTGTGTAATCATCCTGTTATGTATTTGTAAGTGAAAGTAATTTAATTTTCAACTTTAATTTTAAGCAGTAAGTTGTTTTCACTTCTCAATTTTAAGATATATGACATCAAATGGGACACAACGCCCATTTATAGATATAGATAGTTCATCTTATAATGTCTTGAATTATGCTTAGCATGATAGGTAGTTCGATCTAACTCATCACACACGTAAACAGGCAATTAGATCAACCTTTTCTGTTTTGACATTGAGTGCAAGTTTCTAGGAACTTGTCTATATTCTGTTCTGTTGTAATTTCTTATTTTGAAACCGCTCGGATGCGGGTGTTTTTAATATATTTAGTTAATTAAAGAAAAAGAGTATAAAATGCAAGTTTTCATGTTTGGCAGGAGGAATATATGAACCTGGAGACATTGACTCGCCATGTGCAAGCTGTATTGAACTTTTCTACTGCTCATGTTAGTGGTTATTATAGCATGCCAAAAGGGGGGACAATCCAGCCCTTCTACTGTTCATGACCGCCCTTGTTTTCTTGATGACCGCATCAATCTCCCAGTTATTAATATGGATGTGCATAGTAACATACCTATTTATGGTGGTGGAAGCTATCTGGATGCTAACACCAAATTCATTAGCAATTATTTTCCTCATCAACACACAAATAATTGTATGTTTATATTAGATTGAGATTTTTTCCAAGTTTCAATCCTTTTTTGTTCAATATTGATTTTGTCTTGCAGCTATATTATTGACATTGTTTTTTCTTTTTCAGGTGATGCCGACATACTACAACCTACCAAAAGAGAAAAAAAAATGATTTATGAATTTTCCAAACATTTCCAATCACAAGATACATGGAAATGTCAACCACAAACAATTGAAAGTGAAGCAGCTTCTTGACATTAGGGTTTTGGTTGGAAAATTGATTCTGGTTCTAATACAAATAAAAAGTGATTTATCAATTTTATGGTGAGATTTTAGTTTTCGATTATAGTGATAATGATTCAGATCAAATACAGAGTTATTGTATATTCTGTTCTATCTTTTGTCACTGTTTTGATTATAGGGATAATGAAATTCTTGTAGGTTTGCGAAAAAATGGAATACAACAGTTGGATTCCTGTTGGATTCTACACAGACGGATGATTATTCCATCCTGATATGGAACAAAATTGTATTTGTAAGTGTAAGTAATTTAATTTTCAGGTTTCACTTACTTTTCAACTTTTTATTGCAATTGAATTGAAATTGTAAGCAGTAAGTATGAAAATCAAATAAGGCAAGGCAAATAAGGCTAATCTGCCACAGGAGTCGATGCATTTGTTGTTTTCACTTCTCAATTTTAAGATATATGACATCAAATGGAACACAACACCCATTTTATAGATATAGATAGTTCATCTTATAATGTCTTGAATTATGCTTAGCATGATAGGTAGTTCGATCTAACTCATCACACGCGTATACAGGCAATTAGATCAACCTTTTCTGTTTTGACATTGAGTGCAAGTTTCTAGGAACTTGTCTATATTCTGTTGCAATTTTCTGTTGTAATTTCTTATTATGATACCGCTCGGATGCGAGTGTTTTTAATATATTTAGTTAATTAAAGAAAAAGAGTATAAAATGCAAGTTTTCATGTTTGGCAGGAGGAATATATGAACCTGGAGACATTGACTCGCCGTGTGCAAGCTGTATTAGATTGAGATTTTTTTCAATTCCTTTTGTAGCCTAGCGGAAAAATGGAATACAACTGTTGGAATCTAGCCCTTCTACTGTTCATGACCTGCCTTGTTTTCTTTATGACAGCTAATCAATCTATTTATGGTGGTGGAAGCTATCTGAATGCTAACACCAAATGCATTAGCAACTATTTTCCTCATCAACACACAAATAATTGTATGTTTATATTAGGTTGAGATTTTTTTCCAAGTTTCAATCCTTTTTTCGTTCAATATTGATTTTGTCTTGCAGCTATATTATTGACATTGTGTTTCTGTTTTAGGTGATACCGACATACTACAACCTACCAAAAGAAAAAAAAAAGACATGGATTTTCCAAACATTTTCCTGCATAGAAGTTTTGTTTAGAATCACAAGATACATGGAATTGTCAACGACAAACAATTGAAAGTGAAGAAGCAGCTTGTTGACATCATACCAGAAAAGAATTATCTGGCTGAGTTCTCTTATAGATCAAGAGTAAGTTCAGTAATTTATTAATGAAGAAATAAATATACGTCTAAGAGATTTAATAAAAGTTCCATTGGTTTCAGTTTATACTTTTATTTCAGAAGATTGATGGAGCAGATATATGCATTTTTGGACTGTACGTCTAGGAGTTTGGCTCTCAGTGTGGCAATCAGAATCAGTGTTGTGTGTACATTTCATATCTTGATTCTGTCAAATATTTTAGGTCTGAAAGAGTAACTGGAAATCGGAGGAGCACTTTAAACTTTCGTTTACCTTTAGATATTGGTATTTTTCTTTTAAACTTTACTTCTAGGCCAATAAAACTTTTAAAGTTGAATCATACATCCTTCCATTTTTACTATTTGTCCTTTATTTCTATATCATCAGATTGGATACCTAATTTTTGTAAGAAAAAGGGTTTCTCAACTTGCTATGTATGGGCATGTCCTCCTTCAAAAAGGGATGAGTATATACTATATTGTCATCACAAAGAGCAAAAGACTCCAAATAATGATAAGCTACGCTCTTGGTCGCTCTTTCTTTCGTCTTATAAGTATGTGTTGAGTTCTTATGAGAAATTTAAAGTACTATTTTCCTTTTTTATCATCTTTGTTTTCAAATGTTACTATAGAATATTTATATTGTTTGTTTATGCAGGTCTTTCAATGCTAAATTAAGGTTATGAAAGAAAAAATTGTTGTTGGTTTAACCAACATACATGATCATTTCTTTGTTCCTACTGAAAAAGGGGTTCCAAAGTGACAATTTCACGTTTGCCATACTTTGATGGAGACTTGTAGTGTGGTTCAACTATTGAAAAAGCGAGGACCATTGAAATAGAGAGTGGAGGAGACAATGAAAATATGTTGAAGTAACAAGTGTCGAGTAGAGTTTTGAAGACTATGGAACATGTCAATCCTTCGAAAGACACTGCTAAAGACATTCCAGTGATTCAAAAGTATGTTTCTATTATCTTTTGATTACATCCTTTGATTTTATTTTTTGGTATTTTACATTAAGATAAACTATACAATATTATTATGTGTGATATTTTCTTTAGATTTAATTGAGAGTGTTTAAATTTCTTACTCTATTAATCAATCACAATTGTTGAAATTCTAAAGATATTTGACTTTGATCATATCTAACTTAAAAGTCATATAAAGGATTGATTTTGATTGGTTAATAGTCTAAAATCTTTTACACTAACATTACATCAAAGTTAATCTTATATCCTATTATGCTAGATGAATGAAAAGTTGCAATGTTCTTATTATACAATTCAGTTGAAGTTATTTATATAATATGTGTAATCTTATCTAATCTTTCTTTTTTTTTCCACCAAATTTTCATCAGTTCGGCCAAGATATATTGCACATACCAGGAAAAATTTCATTATAGCTCATTTACAATATTCGTGCAGGCACAAATTTCAGGAGTGTGAAAGGTATGATAACTTAAATACATATTTCCATTGTTTTCCCTTCTTTTAAAATGAATACAATAAAAAGGGAATTTCTGATTTTCATATCAATATATCACAGATGTCATAGTTTAAATGAGCACACCTTAAAGAACGGCGAAGTGCATCCACTGTGGCAGGTAACAACCTAAATAAACCTAAAGCTTCAATATGATTTTGTCCTCATTAGTAAATTCATGCAAAGTTTTAATTTATGTGTGGTTTTTAGGCCGTTGATGATATCCCCTCCAACACTAAGCATAATGATACCATCCTTGAGAATGAATTATTTGAAGATAGGAAGAACATTTTGAGCTTCTACCAGAAGTATCAGTTTCAGTTGACACACTCCGACGTGCCAAGTATTCCTCAATGATGATCCTCTACCATCTAAGCAATCCTAGTCCTATGACTTTTGAAAAATATTGTAGTATTTGTTACGCACACAATGTGTTCCAGAAGTGGTGGAAATGTGAGGTTTGTCCAGATTGTACCATTTGCTCTGCATACTATAAGGATAGAGGTGTTGATTGCCATGAACACAAATCAACTCAAAATGAACACATGTTGGTTGAAAATAATTCCACATCACAATCCGGGAATCAAGAGTCTAATGGAAAATTGGTATGAGCTTAACTCTTTGAATTTATTGTTTTTAATACTCGTTTGTTCTAGATTGTTGATTATATTTTCCGATTCATAGACACACAGATGCTGAAAATGCTGAAATAGGAAATATTTTTTGAAGAATGTATCTCAACTTTGGAATCACGAGTGACGTGGGAAAACGGTATGAAATCAATTTTCAAAATTTATCTTTTTTCATTACTTGTTTGTTATGGATGGGTGATTATACTTTCTGACTTACACACATAGATGTTGAAACTAAAGAACTTTGAAGCATGCATTTAAATGTCTGGCAACTAGTGCTAGCTCTAATACATCATGTTGTCAATTCAAGAAGTCGATCAGTCATGCCAAAAGTTACAAAACTCGTTGGGGGGATGCAAGTATTGTAAAATGATATGGATTATACTAACTTCTCACTTCATGGACTGTAAAGACTCGGTAGAATAAAACATTGCAGGTGTGTTACTATTAAAATTCTACACTACCTAAAGAATTTAGACCTGCACAAATAAATATCCTTTTCTTAATTTCCATTTTTATTTATTTTAAAAAAATTATTACATTTTCTTTCTTCTTCTTCTTCCACTTCATTCTTCAACTCAGTACTTCTTCACACGTCAATGCTGAACTTCACATTTTGACCTTCCCACTCAAAATATACCTCACTCAACATTTTCCACCATGCTGGATGCACTACTCGGAAAAACCTTCGCCGCCGAATGGTTCTCCGTCGCTTCATTTTAATTGCATTATTTTTTTTTTGTTCCTTTGCTCATGAAGTGAATTCAGAGTGTAGTTATGCTGATGCTTATATGCTTTTCAGTAAACTGTTACTCAAATTAACCAAGAATCGGATTGAAGTGATAAGGAGGAAGAGAAGAGCTACGGAGAAGTTTCTCAAGAAAGATGTAGCTGATCTTTTACACAGTGGTTTAGATATCAATGCCTACGCAAGGGTAATTCCTTTCTTTTTTGTGTGTGCATTTTCTGGATTAGGTTATGTTTGATTCTTCATAATGTGATGTAAATTTCGAGGTTTTTCGTGCTTACTCAAGAGTTTTTAGTTTTAATCGTGTCTTGAAATTATTACGATGAGTTTTGTTTTTCTTGCAATGTGGTGAAATTAATAGGCGGAAGGACCGTTGGTTGAGTTGGGTTTTGTGGAGAAATCTTGTGAGCTTGTGTTGAAGCATTTATCAGTCATGCAGAAGATAAGGTAACTAACTATCTTCTACCTAGATAGTTATTTTTTTTCATAATTCATGTCATTTTTTTTCTTTATTTTTTTATAGATTTTCATTTGATATTTAGAGTTTTGGCTGATAAAGTTGGTTTGCGAGGTTTTTTATTAGTTAAGTTAGTGCACATGCCAAGAATAATGTTACTATTAGAATTCTACACTACCTAAAATATGCATAAATATACTCATTCCTTTCAACACTGTTATTTTTTCCCCCTATATTATGCATAACCGTTTGTATTTATGCCAACTTTGCAGCAAGCTGTAGAAGCTTTTAGAATATAGAGGAATGGGTTTGAAATCATAAAATAGAGGTGCAGAAGTTGATAGTGACTAAACAGTCATTGGTTGTGGTGTTGAGTTATTGTAAGGCAACTTCTATTCATTTTGAGTTGATTTGTGTTCATGGCAATCAACACCTCTATATCTCAATTTAGACAAACCTCACATTTCCATCATTTTTGGAAGTGTGCAACAAATACTACAACGTTTTCCAAAAGTCATAGGACTTGGATTGCTCAGATGGTAGAGGATTATCACTGAAACTGATACTTCTAGAAAAAGTTCAAAATGTTGTTCCTATATTCAAATAATTCATTCTCAAGGATGGTATCATTATGCGTAGTGATGGAGGGGATATCATCAACAACCTAAAAACTGACACAAGTAAAAAATTTGCATGAATTTACTAATGATGGAAAAATCATATTGAAGCTTTAGGTTTAGTTAGGTTGTTAGGTTTAGTTAGGTTGTTACCAGACAAAGTGGATGCACTTTGCCGATCTTTAAGTTGTGTTAATTTGAACTATGATATTTGTAATATATTGATATGAAAGTCAAAGACAAAAACCCTTTTTATTGTATTGAATGTAAAATATATGCCCTCATTTTGAAAGTGGAAACAATTGAAATAAGTATTTAAGTTATCATAACTTTCACACTTGAAATTTCTTGCATTAAGTGCGAAACCACCGCTTCCCAAACATTATCGCTTCAGAGTAGTGCATGCATGAATATTGTAAATGTATGCATGAATATTGTAAATGTGATATACTGAAATTGCTTAAATTGTTTTTAGTCTGCAATATATCTTTGGCCCAACTGATGAAAATTGGGTGGAAAAAAAAGAAAGATAAGATAAACTCACATATTATATAAATAATTTCAACTGAACTCTATTAAGAACATCACATCATCACAACTTTTCATTCAATATAGTATAAATAGGTATGAGCTTTATTTTAATAAGAACATCACAACTTTTCATTCAATCTAGTATAAATAGGTATGAGATTTATTTTGATGTAATATTAGTGTAAAAGATTTTAGACCTATTAACCAACGAAATGTTTATAATTTTAGACTATATAAATCTAATGGTTTTTTCTGTGATTTAAATGGTTTGAAGTTCTTAAATTATATAAAGTAATAGACATTATCATTTAAATATTAAAAATTCACTACATAATTTAAAATATTAATAACTTATATATTAGATATTACAATTTAAGAAATATTTTGGAAAATAATTTGAAAAACAAATAAAATAATTTAGACGGACTGATTTGATGAGTCTGCCACGTTCGGACATTTTCTACGCATATAACTTATTTCTCGACATATTTCACACCTTCTCTTTTCTTTCTCAAGATCGTCCATTTCAGTTCTAATTCTTGTACTATTTGGACGCCCTTTCTTATTCCTTCGCATTGTCTCGTCATGGCAAAGAGTGAATCCTTCATATGTTGGCCAATTTTAGTGGTGTGGAAGTCCAAGGAAGCTTACGCCGTAGACTTTGAATACACTCAAAACCTTGAAAACATTTGGTATGTGCATGTTATGGTCCTGTCGTATATTGACACATGCTGCGATTACATGGGAGCAAGGTAAATGAAATGCCTGAAACGTCCCACAATCGCACCACCCTCTCCCGAGATCAACGCTAAAAGTACTTAATGGTCGGCCATCGCGTTGATTAATGCTTTTGGCAACCATAAAATAAAATCTCTCGCGATCAAATTGAATGACATTATGGCTGCTAGATTTACTCGCTTCGTCGGCCATTCCCTTGTTACAGTTTTCCGTGAAAGTTTGACCGGATGCCAATAGTTTTGTCCAATCGTGTCATCGTTTTCCAAACAGCGATCCCAGAAGATAGAACGTTGACTTGACCAATGTTGTAATAGGAAGGTTTCGGGTAGCCTTAAGTACCGAGTTCATAGCTTCAGCCAAATTTGTTGTCATGTGTCCCCACCGCTGTCCCCCGTCGAATGCTCTCGACCACTTCTCTCTGGGAATATTGTCTATCCGCTCCAAAGTTGCTCTATTTGTTCTTCGTATTTCGCCCCTGTAGTAGTTAAATGTTGCCTCTGTTAGTGCATATCCTGTAGATGAAAATGTTTAAGCAAAATGTTCAGTAAAATATATGAAAATCAATAAGTCAATAAATAAAAATTGAAACATCAACTCGTGAAGATGTAGACATACTCATGTTGACAACCGTTTTCCGTAGTTCTTTGTCTCTGAACTCACGCATGCAGTTTTGCGCAATGTCAAACCCAGACATCTACATTCACCCAGCCCACATACCAACACCCTAACCCACACAACCCTAACCAACATATCAACGCACTCATACCACATTCTTTGCCACCTCCTCTCAACAACCAACACCATACACGCCAAACCCACAACCAAACTTCTACTACCACCAACAATACCAGGAACAAACCACATTTCGACATTCTTTTCAATTCACTCCAATTCCTCGACCTAATTTTGATTTCTCTTAGCCCCAACCACAACACCAAACATTTAACCCTTCAATGTCTCAACCGACTTCAACCGGCCGCACTGACAATGTTTATTACCCTCTCATCCAACAAAGTCCTCCAACCACCTTCACCCAACCATCCCAGCCAGTCCCTAACTTTACCCTAACTGATGATCAACTCATGGAATGATCAGGTTTTTTTGTTACTGATGTGGACATGGTCGATACATCACATCAACCTGAAAATGAAGAGTTGACTTCCGACTCTACCCCATCACCTCCAAGATGGCAACCCGAAGAGTTAGGCATCGGGAAACGAGTAAAAAAGAGTAAAATGTGTGAAACTGACGGTCATTTACGTAGACAAAAATGATGTATTTTTTCACTCATAAGTATTAATAAATTTGTCTTTATTTATGATTTTATTTAATAAGCAAATTAATTTAATTAGTTAAATAATTAATTAGATAATGTGAAAAATATTTAATAATATTATAAAATTAATTATTTATTAATATTTTAAATCATATAATAAATTTTAATATTTTAAAAAAAATTTAATATATAACATAATAATAAATATTTATATATTTTTTTAAAATAATAAAGAAAACAAAAAAAAATTGTAGTCCATTGGCCGAACCCCAACATGCTTTTTTTCTTTTCAATGAGTTGTCTATTGAAAGGACGAGCCCAAACTAAAAACGTGTCATTTTAGAAATTTTTTTTTCAAACAGTGACATATTAATATTTTGCATTTCAATATGTGGCATATGTGTGAAAAACTGAAAGTTCCAACAATTCCACAGGAGGTTACATGCCATGCTAAAAATAAATGGCTAAGACCCTGTTGTTAGAACCTGCACAGTAAATGTAGGACCATCATCACCTAACTCAGGGTGGCGGGCATAAAAGCCCTGCATTGTGTAAAGACGTTTTCATGTCAGTAAACATACCTTTTAATTTTGCAGTAAATTGGAATCCACATTCTGTCTTGAGCTTAACTATGAAACTCCTCTAGGCATCATTAGAAACTATTTTTCCAGACAAAAGTCACTTTGCCACCTCTATATCACCCTCGCTAACTCCCTTTAGACCCTTTCGAAACTTATCATTTAAAAATAGTGAAATGAACTCTGGAGAACGAGGGTCCAAGTTAATGAAAATTTAAACGATAAATTCAAAGCATCTTCAAACAACTTGTCATTACTAAATGCCAAAATTATAATGTCGTATTTATCTTTCTCATCCAAGAGCCTCTGCACAAATTCAACAGGATCCTTCAACCTTTCTGGATCAGTAAGAAGCTGTTTACCGGACTCTCTCACGTGGGAAGTCATCACTTCATAAACTCTGGCCTTTCGGGTGCATGCGATATGTCCTATCCATGTACATCAGAATGTCTCTAATAATTTCTAACGCCTTATTATGATCAATCTTTTTTCTGTTTAGTTCTTTCAGAGAGGAATTTCCTTGAGTTGCTTCAACAGACCCGACTATCTCTTTGAGATGAAAAGTCATGGTGGCAACCAACCCAAAGTATAACTTCTCACCAAATTTGTGAAGAACCATATTGTAAACATTCCTAAACCCACAAAATAAAGACAATAAAATATTAGATGATAAAATACCCGAAATAAAGAGGATAAAGTACAATATTCATTTGATGTGCACATGTCAATAGGGAAATTTGTAAAGCAAGATCATATTATTTCAGATTTATAAACTACTTATTCAAAGAGAGGACAATCATGAAAATAGGCCACAAAACCTAATAAGTGTCTAACCACAGCCTGTGTAACTTAACATACAATTATGAGTTTGAAATTAGCATTTGCATTAAAAATTCATGCAAAAGAATTCAAAATTTATATGTTCTAGAAGATTATTTAATATTTTTTGTTAGGTCTTACTAGAGTTATTAATAGTGTATAACAAAACACTTAGAAACCACTACGTGAAAAAACTGCATGCAAATAAAAAGGGAAATGGAGGTAGAGGATAAATCTAATGGTGGCCAAAGAATGAAATAGTATTGAAAAACATGTTTGGAAGGGCAAAGAAGTTAGAAATCAGTCGTGATTGAAATATATTTATCATCAATTATCTAGTTCCCCAAGCCAGACTTCTATGTAAATTATTTTTGCTGAGAAAAATGAAATAATTTACATTGAAAATTTGTTACACATTAATTACTAATTAACTACGAATTTTTGTGGATTTAAAAATGGTATTGACCTTAGCTATGTGACATGCCACGTCAGTATTTTTGCCACATTGACACAACTATGTGTGTATTCAGTCACCAAAAAACTTTCATGTGGCGTGCCATGTTAACTTTTGTTAACGGACGTTGATAGAAGAGACTAAACACTACAAGAAAAATTGCATTTAGCTAAGAGTTTAACCCCTCATTAAAACAAAAAACTCATCACAAAATATCAATTTGCAAGGGGATATGACCTCTAGCTAATCAGGGAATTGCAAATTAATGC